CACCTGCATCCATTAACTCTCTGCAATGCATTTGAGGTTATCACTCCATATAGTAGGGGGTCGTTTTACACTGAGTTTGCCCGTACGGGGTTGTCACTCAAGAATCTTTCTTCCCATCAACATAGAAATCAATGTTGACTTATAATTTAGTTATTTCAGATGACAAGAAATATATTTTACACAAGTATACAATAAAAGAATTATGCGCCATGTGTAACACAGAATTGAATAATAATAATTGGTAAACAAAGTAAAACGGTTATTTATTGTAATTGAAAACTATATTAAGTACATTATTGTTTATTTGTTAACAATCATGGTTTTTTTATGCAACTTAGAATGGCAAACAAGCTGACGGCCCACCTGACAGAAAGTGGTAACCGTCGCCCATAGACATGAGTAGCACCATGAACATAATAGAGTATACAGTTTCGCCCATGATACCCCTCATTTCTTAGTCTCCTTTCCTTAAAACAATTTGGTTTTGTAAATGATTGAACATTATTTATAAATAGATAGGAGCTTTAATACTATGTAATAATTGCTAGGAGACGTAATAAAGATACGATAAAAAAATAAAAAAAAAATACAAATCGAGGTTCACGAGTCCCGCCCGACCCATTTGCGACATCTTTAATTTGAACAAGACGTCACAGTTTGAAACGTTATCAGAACGAAAATTAATAACGTTACTATAGAATCGGCAGCCAGGACCAGTCTTATAATAATTATTCAATTCAAAACTGTTGATGAAAAGTGAAATTTTGGGTTCCCTTTGGGCATAATAATGGATCCCAGTAATCAATCATGCTACCCTCTACATAATTAACTACTTATAACAGTATTATTTTATCAGCCCACCAAGATGGTAATTAAGTTAATGGATGTTTTAACCAGTTGCAGTATTACATGATAAAATAAACAAAGGTTTGTTAATTTTTTTTTATTCGTATTTTCTTATTCAAACAGTTTTTAGGAATTCCAAATTTAAAATATTTTTATAATAAATCAATAATTTGTTTAGGGATGTCCATTAAAGCATAAGCCTAGTCCTAATCTAGCATGTGGAGAGACGAGATTTCTAATAATACGATCTCGCGGTTTAACTAACCAATGTATACCGTTATTGCTGAACAGGTTACCATTCCATTTTCTAATTAAAAAAAAAAAAAACAATATGATGTCATAATCAATCAACATAATATGAATAAAATTTAAAACATACATTTAGTATTTCATTAATTTTAGCTTTCAATAATAATAATAAAAAACAATATAAGTATAAAAATACAAAACCTCTATGACATATATGATATAGTTCCGCATCTTTCTAAATTTGATAAATTAAGTGTTGTATTTTTTACCTAGTTACAGGTACGTATTTGGGTACGTTGTTTTATATGTTACAGTGTTTTATAACACATTTACGAGAAAATTATTTACGGCCATTACGCTACTCGTGCGAGGGTGGCACTCTCTGATGGAAAAAAATATAAGGCTATATTTCAATGTATAAATTTATAATTATCGATAGAATATTCATAAAGTTAGCATTGTGCAAACATATAATGTGTAACACTCCATTGAGTGCAGGCAGCAATCATCACAGCCGATGACACTCATTGCCTCACTTGTTATGTTGTTAACAATCATCAGCGTGAATTGCTGACTTCCTTGCTCGTTGATCAGTGACGATCGCGTGATAACCTCCTTTTTAAAGAGCACAAGAGGTGAATTTGTTTAACTATACATATAAAAACACGTTTTGATTGATGAATGACACAGTCTAAATGTTTACACGATGTTGTATTGCAAAAGTTAGGTATATAAGAAAGAGAATGGTTGTAGATAGAATAAATGCGATCTTGCGAAGTAGAGTCAATTGATTTGAAAGAAAATGTCGGTGCAAAAATGAGGAAGGACAAGAGCTACGTTGGTTCTGGTACGTGAAAGAAAATTCGAATAAAAAGCTAAGGAAACAAGAAAACAATACGAAAGAGGATGTAGGTACCGCTACAGGTATAGTAGTGTACACTTCTGTTATATAGGTTAGTTTTTTATGTAACTTAGAATGGCAAACTAGCTGACGGTTCACCTGATGGAAAGAGGTTACCCTTACCGACAAACATAAACAATACCATGGACATAACAAAGTATTCTATGTCGTCCTCGACACCTTTCATGCGCTACCATTCTTGTGGATTAAGATATTACGCATGTGTATCCTATACTTTCACTGTTATATTTATTTATTTAAACTTTAATGCACAGTAAAATTCTATGTACATTTGGCGGACTTAACACGGGACGGTGTTCTCTACCAGTCAACCATTAGGTAAACCGAGAAATACGTAGGCGGTACATTTTTGAATAGAGGAAAAATAAAGCAATATTATATCCCAACAGAACTATGCAAACACAAGTGCTTCACGGCAGAAACACGAATGGGATAGAAGTACCTAAGCAGACAATTTGTATAAAAAAATCTTCGTCTGGTAAAGCAGGTTAGTAGTAGGTACCTATATTGATCAAATAGAGCTCCGATCGCAATCCGACTCTTTGGAACCTTTCTCTACCTAACCCATAAGAAAATGAGCGTGAAGATCTATCATATCAGCCGTTAACTGTCCACTGCTGAATACAGGCCTTCTCATAGAGGGGGGGGGGGTGAGATTGTCAGTAGTTGCCACGCTTGACAGGCAGGTTGGCAACCGCAGTTAGACTTTGGTGATTATAATTGGGTTGTCTAAGGAATTGCATTAATTCTGTACGTAGCGTATTTGTGTTTATATTAACTTATTTTATTTCCTTGTTTTGCATGTCCTTACAGGATATATCCCAATTTGACAAACTACAACAAACAACATTAGATTTTGCAATAACAAATAGTAAACATTCCAGCCCTTGTGAATTTCATCAGAGAACATATAAAGAGATCAGTACCTCTATTCGAAATATTATTTAATAAAACAAGTGATCTAATAAAAGACTACAGCATGGGGTTCTTCAATAGGGGGTAAAGAGGTTCCTTTAGGGTCGACAACGCGCGCGTAATACAGCTGGTATTGCAGGCGTTCATAGATTACGGTAACCGCTTACCATCAGGTGGCCCGTATGCTTGTTTGCCACTGAAAGGTGCATGATGGAGTAAATTTGTTTCAACCTTAAGTACAGCAAATAACACGTGACGTCTAGCACGAGTATCTGTATATGTATTTATAAAAGTTTATAACATTACAAAATCGCAAAGTTTTCCTTTATATCAATATGCTTTCACTGTAGTTGCATTTCGTCACGAATGAGTTTACCAAACGTGCATTGAACTAATCCATTTGTATAAATTGTAAGTGGCATTGATAGGAAGCGTGCAGAGCCACCGTTGTGGCTCCCCTCCATTCCCTTAATTAAAAAGTTGGCGATCGGATCCAATACGGCTATTCAGGTTTCCTCTATACTGCATTCACTGAGTGTATTACATTATGGATATTTATACGAGAGGAAACGCTATGAAAATTGTTTATTTTACTCTTATTATTTAATTTTAGTATGGATATAATATCTTTTTACAAGAACCATTGTATTGCGCTGCATGTCGAAGGAACCCAACTATAACTGTAATTATAATAATTGGTAAAATAAAAAATAAACTGGGTCCCGATAACTTTAATAAAGAATTTATTATTATTATTATATCAGTACAGAATTTTGTAAATTGACAATTTACTAGATTCATTAATAAAGATTGTTTGGAATTTTCATTAAATTACTATGATAAACCACTATATATATATATATATATATATATATATATATATATATATATATATATATATATATATATATATATATATATATATATATATATATAATTACAACAATCCATACCTTTTCCATTGAACTAAACTCAATGAAACAACATACGTATTACTAAACATATTGTCACATTACTATTTTTTTTAGCAAGAAAACGTAATTTATTTAAAAATTAGATATTTTGCATAATAAATAAGTAGGTAATTCAATAATATAATATTTTCATTTGCACGAAATTCGATTCTTACTACATAATGTACAAAGATTCCCTTTAAAGTACGAATGAGAGGATTTAAAAAAGAGGTCACCTGGGGGAGACATTGTATATATAAGTTATCACTTGTTTACCATCTTTTGCATGGGTACATGTGTCAAAGCAGTGGCATTATATGGCTGTTTCGGTTTATAGGTCGTGTGATATAGCAGTGAAATTTTGCCATATATCAAGATAAACATCGTAGTCCTCAAAAAAAATATGGGGAATAAAAACTCCCGCGATCCTATCTATATAAAAAAATACAGGTAGGTTCACCCTCTGCTATGTTGGATTCTAATACCCACGATGAAAATAGTGAATGTAACAGAAAGAGTCGACTATCGAAATATCTTCGACTATCCCAATACAGAAAATATAGGTAGGCTCGCCTTCTGTTTTATTAGATTCTAATATGCCTAAAGGAATATGATCATATCAAACGTTACGTTCACCATAACGGCAACAATCGATTGTCGAAATGTCGTCGACTATTCCATTAGCATTATGGAACTGAAACATGATCTTACAGGGTTACCCGTATGTAAAAGCTTAAAATTACTCAGCGGGCTATTGAGAGGGCTATGCTAGGAGTTTCTTTGCGTGATAGAATCCGAAACGAGAATATCCGCAAAAGAACCAAAATAATAGTCATAGACCGAAGGATATGCAAGCTAAAGTGGTAAAGGGCTGGTCACATAGCTTGAAGAACTGACAACTGATGGTGAAGAGTTTCTTGAGTGGCAACTCTTTACGGGGGAACACAGTATAGGATGACCCACCACTAGATGGAAAGACGATCTCAATGCATTGCAGGGAGTCAGTGGATACAGGTGGCTCAGATGATGAAACCATTAGCGAATATAGCTGAGTGATGAACCCATAAGCAAATATAGCTGTGGGCATATATTCATTAAATACAGTAAAAATATACCTGTTGTGGGCCCGAAACGACAGTCGCAGCGGCTCCGGGGACGGCGGGTGCTGGGGCGCGGCGCGGCGGTGCCGGTGTCCACTTAGCGGCTCGTACGCGATGGACTGCCAGTGCCTCACAAACGGCGTCAGCGACAACCCTGCAAACAAAAAAGTTCAGTATTAGGATTACCATTGTCTATGCAGCAAAGATGTTTCATTTAAACTCCAGTCTTTGTACAATATTTTATAATATTTTTTAAAATGAAGATGTATAACAGCATTGTCTGAAAAATTTAATAAAATCAATTGAATAAGTAATTTATTAACACAAAAATATTGTCAGTTATTCTTAACGTTTATTAAGTCACGTCACATATCATAGTCTGATAGTCATAGCTTGAGTGGAAATAAATTTGTTTTTTTTTCGAGCTGTAAAATTAGAAACTTACATTAATTTTATTTATTTTATTCATTTATTTACTCTTTATTGCGCCACTTAAAGAACAATACAAGATAAACATATATTACATTTATGAAGTATAAAAAGCACTATCGCTAATAATTATAATTTTAATAAATTAGTAGAAAGAGAATTAATTGCTTAAGGCTAAAATTTCTAAATAATAAAACTACTTTTTGGAAATCCCACGTGTTTAGTTAACGACCTAATGCCAAATAACATTCAAACACCTAATGCTCAAATGTATATAGCAGAAAATCTATAGATATAGGCTGCTCTGAATTACAGCCACACCAGTCAATGATGGATATCTACGTATACGGTCTGGACACAGCATTAAGTTATTAATAAAATAATACTAGCAAATTGCCATTTTAATTAAATCAATTTATTAATAAACCTCAAGTATAATGGATCGCCATGAAAATGTAGTTTCATGTTATATATAAACGTTGACAGCATTACATATAAATGCCGTGCATACAATATCATGATCCCGAATGGTATAACATGTTTCCAATTTATTTTTCGCTTTGAATGAAGTGCATTTAAATATTGTATCGCAGCAAAGTTATTAATAGTTATTCGCGGTTATAAAACTCGAGCCTGATAACCATTCATACATCAAACAAAATGAAAGAATTAATTTTTCAATTTGTTTTATTAATGAGAAGTTGTATTTTTCTTAAATAGAATTTAATGCCATTTAGTCTCTTACATGGGCGTTTAATTTAATATGTCTACTATATTTCAACGTCAAACTAAATACGAGTTTATGTCATATGGTATATCGATGGTAATTTTTCTTCCTCGTCCTATACACAGTCGAATCTTTTTATACATAGATGACAATAAAGATTTTGAGTTATTTTATATCGGACATCCGACATTCAGGCGAGTATCTACGCCTTTTTTGCTCAAATGAACACATTAATTCAAGTTATAAAACTCGTCTTTATTGCTTTGTTTGTTTCATCAGCATTGTTTAGGGTTATAAGACTGAAACCTTAACTAAAACAAATTATTCACGTTTGAATGAGAAAGACATTTTTAATAGGAGGCCTATTAAAAAAATAGCTGTTTGTTATATAAAAATACATTGTACTTTATATAAAAAATGTGAATTAAAAAAAAAACACACTATAATGTCACCCATGCATAAACTGAACTTACTGAAACACAATTCATTGCTTCATTAAAATTCAGCTTTTCGCGATTTCGGAGTATACATAAATTATTTTATAAATTGATTCATCGGTGGAATGGCAGGTGAGATCGGGTGATTTGCATAAAAATAACGTTAAAATACAGCACTCGGTATGTATACTTACTTTTAATTAAAACTTTGTTGCGATAAATTTAGACATATAATTGAGTAATGTTGATGATGAATACTCTGATAGTTTCATATTACATATTGGTTTAATTACATTTGAAAATGGTACAGAGTGCTTCAATTAAATTTATTTTATTACAATTGCAAATAATATTATTTTAATAAGTATTATGGACCCTGTTGAGTGATGGAAATTATAATGGAAGAGAGAGTAAACTAATAGATTGTCATTTCGATCAAGCAATAAAATAAATTTAATACGCTAGCTATCCGAAGCAACTTCCCATGGGTAGATAGAATTTTTAAAAAATATATAGACTATGTTATTCACTAATAACGTAGCCATCTACAGGTGAACGAATTTTTAAAATCGATTAAGTACTTTTGAGTTTATCCATTTAAAAAAAAATGTTTCCTTGTTATAATATTAGTACTAAGATGTCTTACTAATATAATAAAAATGTAACTAAACGATGTCTGTGCATGGGAAATATTAAAAAAAAAATGCCATGAATATTTTGAACAAGAATTCAAAGTACAAACTGACTTAATAAAAAAAAAAACTATTAATTACATTTGTAGCAATGGTAACAATACCACTTTAAACAGAGCAATTCTAACGTGTTGCCAATAATATGACAGTTCTATTCATTGAATTTGTTCGCGGTATTGACAATCAGCGGAAAGTTGTCGCTAATATAAATACTTAAACAATTTAAACCATATACAAACTCCTGTATACGGTTTGATTTAATCATTACAATTTTTTTATTTAATAACCACATTACATACATTTAACTAAATATAATATATTATGATAACATTAAACGAAGGGACCACCAAACTAAAAGCGAATAACCGTTAGAGCGGTCGATATCAAACATCTGAAGTGGCAATTTAGCATCCGAAACGGAAATATGAGCTTCTACTTGCACCTAATTGGAAAATCAGGGGCCATATATTTCCAGTAAGACGACCTCGGGGAACATCGTGGGATTTCGAAGCGTCTAGAATTCAAGAGAGTTACTCCAGATTAGGGGTGCCACGGCGGCTTAGTAACACTTTGGATGTGAGTTAGTGCTAATGATGGTACCACAGAGATGAATTTTAAGAGTAGTAACTACGTGGTAATTTATTTATTATGTTAATTGGTAGGGATCTTTCAGGTCGACCTGCGAGCGTTTCCTCCTGGAAACCATCGTGGTTAATCCTTGTGATCCGATAGCATCCGAGAGCAGCAGTAGCAACAGCGATCCGCAGTCGAAGTTACTATTTTATTTTCACCCATAAAAAATACTATAGTTACAGCAAATTTCATGACAAGCGGCTGATCTGTTAAGGCGCCAGAAAGTAACAAAGTATATTAAACAAAATAACAAACTCACATTTATATTTATAATACTATTTTATTCATATTACACAGTTTTGACTTTAGATTTTATGACCTGTCCGACGTAAACCCTTCTTAGGAATACATTTGTCGCTAGTATCCGCCACCTACCACATGGAGGAAAGAATTCAAGAAAAAGGAGAGAGAAGGTGGGAGTGAGTAAAGAAAGTGGATAAAAAAGGAATGAAGATTTATGGGGGAAAAATAAGAGGAAACACTCCAGTTGCAGATGGAATATTGGTCAGAAATTGCAGTGGCTCGGGAGGCCGGGTTTGTATATCCATGTGTCCTTACTCTAAAACCGGATCTCTAGAGAAGAATACACTTGACCTTATAGAAGAGGATAGTTGATGACTCAAACAAATTTTTAAATATTTCATATTGAAACAATATATATTAAACAAACTGATAGAAAGTAATAATCATCGCCTGAACAGCACCATGGACTCTATAGATTACAATATTAAGCTCATGGTACCCATAGAAGGAGACTTAACAACTCAGTTTTTTGGAATAACAATACACGGGCGAAATATGGGATAATAATTCAGTTATATTAAGCATATTCTACGATTGATATCACGGAATCCACTTGCAGCACTTTCCATTAGGTGGACCATCAGTTTGTCATTTAAAGGTGCATAAAAATAAATAATGGAAAAATCACATAAAACAGAGAAATAGTTCAACGTCTATAACACATGGCGTAAGTCGCCATATTGCTATTCAATGGCGAATGTTCCTCGAAATTGTACACTGATATTGTTAAAAATAGTCGAAGACTTGCAAACTTGCAAGTGAGTTACGATGCGCTCGTGTACGGAACCGTAGTGGATCTGAAGTGTATAATTTTTCGCGCCATTTGCCGGTAGACGTGCGCGCGGCGACGGCATGGCGTAAGCGCGAAGCGACGTGACCCTTTCATACTTCGTGTTCTACAAGTTTAAATACTTGAACTTAATACCAAGTTGGACCTTAACTGGAAATATTTTTTATTCATAATCAACATAGACAGTTATTTTTAGAATGAAAATGTAAATAATTTTCTGTACAATTCCCTAATAGCGAGAATAGCTAGTGAAGCTACGCTCGTTGTTTCGTCATGACATGAATTCGAAACCCGTTTTTTTTTTCTTTAATTGATAGGGTTTATTTGAGTGTGGTCTATTAATGATATTGTGACGATTTAAGCTGCCATTTATACTTGTGGAGCAGAAAAACTGCTTATGTGAAGCAAAATTTACTTGTAGACACATGAATCCCCGTGTTTACGAAACATCTTGTCATTCATTGGTGTATTTTGTTGAGATAGAAGTAGTTTTATTTTATAAAGTGAAATACATTTGTATTAAAATAATATAGAATAAAAAAAAAAACATTCCGTAAGGCTAGATATACAGATGGGCAAAGCACCGGGTTTAAACCCGGTGCTTTGGTAAAAACCCAATAAACACCCATAAACTCCCATAATCACCCAAAAAAATAGGTTTTTACGTATTTTTTTGAAAATATGTAAGTAATACCAATAAATTATTTTTATAAATTGTATTGATCAATTCTACAATATTAAATAAAACGTTAACTAATAATATTTCAGGAAATTTTAAAAATCTATATATAATAAAATGAAAGTAATTAATTTTCAGTGTTTTCATGTTGCAGTTGATCAACATGTTGGCCTTTTGCTTCCCGTAGATACTTTAAAATTTCTTCATAACACCTCGTTCGCACACATGGCCGTATATATTTAAATTCTTGAGCCACTAACAGTCCGAAATACTCATTTCTTTTATCCTCTTCTCCATAAATTAAGCATTTAGAACAGTTTGTTTCTTCTTTCAGTAAATTTTCTTTTACTTTATCCTCGTTTTTTTTCTTTGTTGCGACGACGCGGGGTAAATCATCTGGACACTGGGTCTCACTATCGCCAAATATATTTGGAGATCGGCTTCGGCTACGGCTTGGCAGACAT